TAAATATGTTCATCGTTCTCAACTCTTTTGAATAATTCGTCTTTAAAAGTTTTTATAAAACGCTCGGCAAAAGCAGGGTGACCTCTTGTCCTATACAATTCAATGCCTTCGCTTTCTACATATGCTTGGAATTCACCACTTGCTATAGCTTTCTCGTCATCGGTGTATATGATTTCAGGTTTCTTGCCCATCTTCTCTATCGCTTTCTTTGTTCCTTGAATAACACTGCCTGTTTCTTTCCTTCTTACTGGGACTACGACAGCATACTTACTCAAACAATCAATACAGACTAATCCAGCTCTGTATCTTTGTTTTACCTTTAAATCTTTTTGGAAATAAAGAATATATCAACTTGGTATGTATGATTGTTATGTGGAGCAACAAAGCTATTGTAGCCTCTCGGGTTCTTTTTTATCTCTACATTCTTTTTGAAGAATCCTTCAACATCTTTCATAGTAACATAGTAACAGATTTGTCTTTCTCTCTTGCATCCTTCAAAGTAGTGTTTCTGGAACCAAACCCTGCTTTATGAAATATATGTTTCCTGTGATTTCTTGCTTACTCATATTAATAGTATCAAGATCATTGTTTTGAAAAATAAAACTTTCAAAATAACAATCTAATGTGAAGAAGAATTGCAGTGGCAACAATTAGCCTCGCAGTTGTCAATAGAATGGCACAGTCCATTATCAACTCTCTGTTCTGTAAAGTTACTTGACAATTTGCCACCTCTGGTATCAAGATTAAATTTAACTCCACAGTTTGCACAACAACCCTTGAACATCTTCAAACACCAATGTTCATCAATGTATTCATCAACTAGTTCTCTTCCTCCTTTTCTGTCTTGTCCTTTGTAACCTGCAACCTTGTTTTTAAACTAGTTAACTACCAAATTCTTAAACATCTCTTCGTCGGCTTTATCATGTTTGAAAAACTTTGAAAAAAATACAGTATACATTATTGAAATCTGTTACTCTGGTTACAGCACACCATAGCCATTCTTTGCTCACCAAATAGTCTTTGTTCCATTCGTGAATTGCTATGTTGTCTCTTATTGTTGTTCCTTGTCTGCTGGCACAGTAAGCGTACCTAAAATGTTTGTCTTTTGGTGTCTTGAATGGTTACATTTCTACCCTCCACTTGTACAACCTCCCACCTTATGTTTACATTCAATTTACCCTCTTCGTCCTTTTTGCAAACCCTGCATATTAAAATCTCCCCAAGTTCATATTTATCTTTTTTGTTTAATTTCTTCCTTACCTCATTTGCTACTGCTTGGCACCTTATGTTAGTGTATGCTATGTTATTCTTACTTGTCATTACATCCTTTGTATATCTAAAATGTTTTTCAATCCACAACTTCCAATCCAAATCTGTTCCCCAAAAATCATCATAGATTTCATTTAACTTGTTTCTATTCCTTTCTCCCTCTTCTGTATCTTTACCTCCTACTCTTTTGCATATCTGCAAAAAGATATTGTATTTGAAAATTATGTCAATGCAATTGTCAACATTTTCCTCTCCATTTTGGTTGTTGGTGAAGGGCTCTGTGCTTGGAAGTTGTTTGACATCACCTGCACCTATTACAATCAAATGAGGGTTTTCATTGCAGAAGACTCTTATCTTATTCGAGATATAAGGACTTGACATATAGATTTCATCAAAAAGATTACATCATAACCGCTGTAATCATACTTTGGTAGCCTGCTTTCCCCCTTACACACAGGAACACTGAAGAACGTATTTTGGGTGACTGCATCGCATGGAACATCTTGCTTTTGCATCTTTTGAGGAACAACAAAAAGTGTATGATAACTTAGGTCGTTGAAATGTTTTTCTTCCTTATTGCTATTTTTTAAATTGCTTCTGTGTCCCATTCATCTTGAACCTCAATCCTTTCACTTTTGTAAATCGGTATTTTTGGAATCTCATCGTGTTTCCATCCACAGACTTCGGGAACAGGAACAACTTTCTTATCTTCCACTCTTCAGCCTCCTATGTCATTATGAAAATTCAATATCTTTTTAGCTTTCTTCAAATCCCTCTTTGCTATGTGAAAGGCATCAGTCTTTACAGCGTAAACATTGATGTTTGCCTCCTTCAACTTCTCATATGCATCATTACATATGAAAGTCATGTTTTTGTAACAGTAGCTCTTTGATACACCTAAATCCGTTCATCAACTGCCTTTGGTCACTGACACTGACTATATAATATTTGGCGGTCTCGCTTTTCTTTTCTATCTTTTGGTTGAATGAATCATTGTCACCGTAGTAGGTTTTGCCATCCTCGACTTTATAATCAAAATCTGTATAACACGCACCGCCATTCACATGTCTAAAGAAAGGTTTGTTGTTCTCATCAACTTCGATAGTCCAGTCTTCTTCTAATTCTCTCCACCTAAAATATTCCTCATACTCTTCTTCGTTCATTACGTAAATCCTCCCATCACATTTTTCTGGTGCTGTAATGCCTCCTTAAGATTATCAAAAATCCTACTGACCGTTTTTCTATTGTAAGACTTCTCAAGCAAACCAAAGGCTACATTAGCAATAGTTTTCAAGTTTTTTGATTCTCAAACTTGTCATCGCTAATCACTGTTTTATATAAATCTTCAACCGCTTTCTTATACTTCACTCGGTGAATGTATGAAGGTACTTTGTAAAATAGTATCTTCATTGCCACCCCTCTCTTAATCAATTCCTTCAGGTGCTTCCCATACACCGCACTATCGTTTTTGTTAAAAAAGATGTTGCCCTGACATGCCCTCACTATGAACAAGGTGTAGTTATTGAATTTGTTAAAATCATATTTTTTGGTGTATGGCTTCCATACATCAAACTCTTTGAACACTGGAATGTGTGTAATCTTTGTTGCTTGGTATGAGTAGGCTTTCCGTGTGTCGATGCTACACATATCTTTAGGGGCAAGGACAAGTTCATAGCCCTTGCTATCATAGTCTTTTGCCTTTAACAACCTTCCATTAGGAACAATGGTTCTGCATTCATCCAATACTTTAAGGTCAGTTTCGTTATAGTATGACTTGTGATTTTCACTGCATGAAAATTGACTTATGAAACTTGAATATTGTCGCGCTGACTTTGTCGTATTATTCCTCTGTTTCCACCAAGATATCATCATTGATTCTATCATGGTCACGGTGCTGTGTTACAATGCTGTAGGTTACCGTTTTCTGTTCCTTGCCCTATCTTGTGTGTAAAATCAAACTTGATTTCTACTGCCCTACCTGCTGTGTGCCTAACCTGTGGTTCATAAGTTCATATTCTGCTCTTTTCATTTCATAAATTGCTTTGTCCAAATCATTGTCTTTCAAAACTAATCTGTATTCCTCTTCATCCTTTAAACTCATCACATCATCGATACCATCAATCATTTTGTATTTAAGAGGTTCTTCCCTGTTGTTGATGTAATAGTTGTTTCCAATCCTAAACTTGTAGAGTTCATCACCACTCTCTTTCCTTTTAAGTGATTTCAGGCTATGGTTCAAAGTGTATATATGTGGCTGTTCTTAATCAATCCGTTGAAAGTTATGTAGCTATGGCAGTTGAAGTTTACAGGGTTATGTTTGTAAATCAAGTTGCTGTCAATATCATATAATCTTGCTTGGATATTGAAATGTTTAAAAACTTTATCCATTTCATTGATTGATGACTCTGCCGCAGCCACTCAGCCGCTCGAGTGGCCAGGGTGAAATTTTCCGCCGTTGCGCGCTCAATCTAATGTTCAATACACGAAGCTTAAAGAGCAAAATTATTCCTACTCAGTCTTTGACATCAGAGCCATTTGGCACTTTTGTGCATTTTTTTTTACTGTTGAGAAGAGGTGCTACAGAACGCTACTCAAAACAAAAGAAACGATCAACATCGATCAACTACTCATTGATTCTCCAATTCCGTCCAATTCCAATCCCAGGCTCCTTCAGTTTCCAGATGCTTTTCTGTGCTTCCACCCTGACAGTGCTGATCGTTTCGCCACTGACTGCCCATGACACCTCGACAGTCACCAATGGGTCTGAGCTCGACATCGGGGATCCACAACTTGGGCAACGGCTGGAACCAAAAATGCTAGCCACAGAGATATACAGAGAACTGAGATATTGCCGACCCTTTGGATCTGCATCATTGATCTATTTGGACTGAAGGATTTCAATGATTTTCATTGATTTTCATTTTCTATGATTTTCTCAATTTTCCCCTATCTTCGTCTAGTTGGGGAATCCGACAAACGCACCTAATCCCGAGGAGTTCTTCTCACCCGCCTCGAACATCTACAGAATTACTGTTTAAGTACAGCCAGGTAATACCAGGTATATAATTGAAACATATTAAAACAACAGAAAGCATAAATTCTGCATCTGACAACTTCCAAAGATTTCATATAGAACTTTCAAAGAACCTGTTTCTCTCATTGCAGACCTGAGCATTGAACTAAACAGTTGAAAGTTGCTAAGAAATGCTAAGAAACAAGAACCATGACCACACCTGTCACACCGCGGATTCCTTGCGCCGATCTCCCTCGGGTGCCACACCAAGCACAGCGTGTGAAGTTCTTTTGACTGTGCCTCTGACTTCCCGCGGAAGTCCTCTAGCGCCAACCTTAGCAGTTTGGCCCTGATCTTTTTGTGAAGCAAATCTGAAAAATCAAGCGTGATGATGCCTCCCTGCTTCGGAGTGGCTCTGGGTCTGCTGGCAGGCGAGTTTCAATCTGAAGCTGAGGAGTGCCACCAAATACCTCCGACATGCAACTATCTCAGGGGCAAAAGCAGTCCAAGGTCCACTAACTTGGAGGAAGCCTGAAAACTGAAACATACTGAAACTAATCAAATGCAAACTTTGTTGAATTGCCAAACTTTGGCTCGAATGAGCACCTTCTCGTCAGTGACCAGAGATGTGTCGCAGCGAGCCTCATAGCACTGAGCTGATCAAAGCGTCCAGGAATGTCCAGAATGTCCAGCAACAGCACAATTCACAAAGTGAAAAAGTGATGAATAAGCGATTTTTACTTATGAAGTCGCTAAGTCTGTCATGAAGGTCATATGTGACATGTATAAATTAATCAGCTATCGGCTGACAACTGTCAGCTTCCTCTGACTAAACAGACAGCCCCTGGCACCACCGGACATTCGGGCACCAGACCTGCAGTTGTCGGAGCTGTGAGGTTGCTGCCAACAAGTCCTCAGCGCGGCCACTTGAGCATCGGTTGTGAAGATGTTTCTTCTCACAATTTCAGGTTCTCAAGATTTTGCCCATTTGTCCATGTTGTTGAATATTTATCACTTCAACTCCTTTTGACGAACCTTTCCTCAACCATATAATGCCAACATCGGATTAATCAACCCCCCCTCCCCCCCCACAAGATCAGATTGACCTTGTCAAGTCTTTCCTAGTTTTCCCCTAAATAAACGGCCCCTGAATCATAAAAAATTGGATATGGTTTGGAATCCATAAAAGTCAATTAGAGTTTCATATAGAATTCCATTGGATTTGATAAGATTTGAGTCTTAAAATCTCATGGAGGTTGATTTATAAGGGGAACCCTGGTTATTATTATTAATCGGGGACATGGGCTCATGGGGGGTACCCTTTGGGAGCTATCCAAATTGATGATTTTTATAAAGAATTTAATTGGAAATCGATCATTTGGGGAATAGTTTTTTTTTTTTAAACAATTCAATGATCAGCAGTGATGGTTTCTGGTGTTTATGAGGTTTCAACTTAAGTATAGCATAAGGAAACCATTTGAAAATAAAGGGAGTTAGACAATAAAACAAAACCTTAACTATAACAATGAGACATGATGAGAAACAAAAGAATTGGAATAGAATTGGCAGTAATTAAAGCATTTTGGATAAACAATTGGATTTCAGCACAGGGGGTTGATTAATAATGTCCTAGCCAAACGGTTTATTAATCCTGGGGGACCACCTGTTTTTAAATTACATTTTTTTGGGGGGGCAGAGGGGGTTGATTAATACCGCGGGGATTATTAATCCCAACTTGACATTATAAATTATATATATATAATATATACAAACGTTATATACTGGTTTGAAATGGGGTCACTTGTGAATACTTGTTATATTATATCCTATTACAGAGATACGATCTGCTTTCCTCGAGGTTTCTGCCTAACTACTTTCACCGAAAAACTTGCCTATGAGATTAGATGGCTCGCCGTATATAATGAGATGACCTGAGCAATCCTGAGCAATTCCCGCTCCATCGTATGCAAAAATCACAAAGTGAGATACCCAACATACCAAGAAAAAACATAGATAACCCATGAGCAAAAAGATGCAAAAAGTCACCCCGGCTATAGCATGAGATGACCAACATGCTAAAATAGCCTGTGAAAACTTCCACTGAAACAAACAACCGTATGAAATGACATGGGGACTCCCAATTTTTTGTCAAAAGTTTGACCTGCCCACCCAGTTCTCGATGGAATGGGTGTTGGAATGTTCGAAATTCAATTTCATAGCGGAAAAAAAAACTCATTGCATCGGGGCTCAGGAGAATATGATGTTATATGTTGATATGTATATATTACACATTATAATTCATTACAGCAGTACATGTCAAAAGTTCAACTGATTCAAGCCTGCCAAGAAGAGGGCAAAAGGAAAGCAAGATTGATGAGGTATGAAAACCAAGCCATTTATAAAGGGATTGATGGATCCACTCCTTTTTTCAAATCTTCACCTTTTGGAAACGAGAGTCTTGATTCAGCTCCAGCAAGGCTTCTTCCACGACCTTCCAGCAGAACCACACAGCAAAGCCATTTGAAAGAGCAGAGCCCTATTTGGTTGATAAGAAAACATAAGAACACAAGAACTACAGTCAATGTGTCTTGTGCATCTGTATCATTTTGTATCCATGGCCTATGGCATCGTCAACTTGTCAAACTCCCTACATCTACAAACGACATCTATGACGTGCTAAAAAAGTGTTTATCTCCTGACATCTACTGACACCGTAACGTGCGTGGGATCGTCTTTTCCACGGATATCAGCATTCCACAGGCCATCCCAGCCATCCCGGCCATCCCGGCCATCCCACACGTCCAATCTGGTCCAATCTGGTCCACCTGCAAACGGCTGTCCACAGACTCAGCCACCGTAGCCTGGAATCTGGATGAATCTGGGAGCGGCTCAAAGTTTCTATCGTTGGCTGGGATAGATTACATTTGAAATACATTAGATTACTATGTGATTCGTGATTACTTTGAATTATTCAGTAATTCTATACTCTGATCTTGTCAGTGTGAATTCTTCAGAATGTTCCCAAACAATTTGCATCTTCGCAGGAAGTGCTTGGAAAACCCAGAACCTGCTGGTGGTCGATTTTGGTGGTCAACCATCTCACTTTGGAAATTGAACTACGTAATGTTGAGATATGTTGAGTGAATAGACTAGACCATTTGCAAGTTGAAACAGAAAGGGTTGCTCTCACTCTTCCGTTTTGGAACTCAAAACGTGACATAATTACTAGGACAGCCTGAAAGCAAAAAAAACAAAGGCAAAATTCATGAAAAATTGTTTGCTTCCTTTTAGCAAGTCACAAAATCCAGTCGAGGTTCTAAACTCAACCAGCTGAATTATAGTATAATGCGGCCAGAGTGGCCCCGACAGAAATCCCAAGAGTGGCCTCCAGTGTAGCCCCGTCACCTCGGCATCTTACATTCCCCCGTAGCAGGAATGGAAACTGAACCGACATGAAATGGATTTACAATGGATTTACATTGAAATCATGGAACACATGGAATGCCAGGGATGGATTGATGGCTTATGCTCCCGCACGACGTGCACTGTTTCCTTCACGCCTCACCTGGGAAAAACGAACTATTGATGCCAGTGTTTCCACGAGCCAAAGGCGCACAAGTTGCGAAAATTTTTAGGCAAACACATCGTGCAGCCAGCCTTTTTCCATCAATTTCCTGGGCCGAGTGCCCTGAATATCTTGAATCAACAGATTGAACCAGAAAATATCCAGCCGGACACAGCGTGGCTGTGACCTCTGTCTGCGCCCAGATCTTCGTGGAGTCTGATAGGGGACCCCAGGAAATTTTGAATCTATGCAATGTTATGCAATGTTATGAATGTTGCGGTGAGCAAAACGACTACAGTATAATTGATAGCATCTTCAAGCACCAAGATCAACATGTTCAAACGTGTTCATTTCAATGGTACTTATCCGGCCAACACGTCTTACGTTGCCAGTAGCCGGAGCAGTGGCGGCAGCAGCATTATCATGGATGTAAGCAGGCTCTTGCAGCTTCAGATGACATCGTCGCACTTGGACAGCCAGTGGTCTTGAAAAGCGTCCAAAGTCTGGGCCGAATGGTATGCACATATGATTCAAGAAATCATACAGCAATACAGTAACATCACAATAAATTCATACTACGCATAATATGGGCCTTGCGCCCGCTACTGGAGAATGCTTTGAAGTTGCTATGAGGGCCCTCACCAGTGGGCGGCGGCAGTCAGTTCCAGGCGCAAGAGCTCCGTGACCAAGTCCCTAACTAGAGGACGGCCCGAGTTTTCACGGATGGCTGCTTTACCATGGGCCAAAGCCACATCGCTGAGACCCTTCACCTGCTCTTCACGATGAGGGTTGCGGCCACCTTCTATTGTGTGTTGATCAGCATTGCCTGGAGCTGCATTTTTTGGCCTTTGGAAAAGTTTTGGAAACATATTGATTTCTTTTGATTTCTTTTGATTTCTTCCTGAATGGCGAGATGTCAGAAGTTCTACGGCATCTGCCTGGGCCAAAAGATGAAATGACTGCATCAAATGCCAGCCATTCTGGTGCGGTCGGGGCCGTACCGTAGGAGCTTGTTCAGCTGCCGAGTGCTTTGACTCAAGTAAGCAAAAGAAAGCTAAAATTGCTTAAAAGGTGGTCAAAACATGCCGAGACAAAGTTCCAGATTGCAAGGCTGGCTGTTACATTGCTGTCTCGTGGTGAAAACAAACAGGTTCATAGTTGGCGGATGTTGGCGGCGGCTTTCCGCTGGAACAAGATACAAGAGAGTCAAGAACCATGACTTATCACAAACCTCGAATCCAAGCTAAGCATTTGAAGAACGAAACCAAGAACAACGTGGTATTCTTATGTTTTCTTAGCCTAGGCCCTAGGCTTTGAGGAGCTTTTCAAGTTTGTGAACTCCAATATCTCCATATCATATACAAATCTGTGACATGGAAAATGCAGTGGCCACCCTTTTCAATGCTTATTTCAGTCTGATCACCCGTTGTTCACACAGAACCTCCGTGCTTCCCAAGAGGCTGCAGCCTAGCAGCTCGAGCGTGCTTTTTGCAAGCTACTGTTGATGGGGTCAATTAAACTCGTTTGACTCTTCCTGGCGGTTCCTCACAGGCCATTGTCAACCACTTCTGCATCCGATACAAACCCCGCCTCGGACTTCTTGGAAGAGATCACAGCTTGCTGCTGGGAAGTCGTTCGAAGCACATGGCAACACCTGGTGCAAAATCCGCAAAATGAGCCTGGAACCTCTTGGTACAGTATGCAGACCAGGGAGTCAAGCAGCTAGAAGAATCGAAACAGCCAAAGTGTGGATACTAGCAGTAATATATATATATACGTATATACCTGCTAAGCTGTTAATCTACACTTTTGTAGGTATAAAAAATAATACCTGGGAAACCGACCCGTAACATAGAAATACCAGGGAAAGTTCAAAATACCTGGGTTTTTGGAAATACCTAAGTTTTCCCAGATTTTGTTATCTTCGTGCATGCTGAACTGTAGACTTCTTGGATGCATGTAAACATTAAATAATCACATTAATACATATTTGGTCGTTTGATGGAAATAGATGGAGGCGCCTTGGCCGCCTCCGATGCACAGCGTGGCCAGGCCCCGTCGTTTGTTGGCTCTTTGCATCTCATGGATTAGGTCCACCTAAGCGTTTGAGGTGGACCTGCTGCACACCTCTGGCTTTTTGTGGCTTCCACCCTCCATCCGATGCTGCTGAGATCGCAAAAATGGAGCTGACTGCGACCATCCGTGCTGTGAACACCGCGTATTCATGAGGTTCATGATCGCTACTGATGGGTTCACAGGGGTTCACAAGCTTAAGGTAAGGATCTGCTTGATGATTTCAAACGACGTTTAGAATATATTATTACAGTACGTCTTATTGGTCCTACTCATCCCAGTTGAATCCATCATTGGCATCACCAAGGCGCAGCAATGCGGCAGCCGGATGCTCCAATGGGGTGGCCAATTGCGATCGCCTCAGCCATTTTTGAACCAGAGAAAGGTTGGAACTCCAGGAAACTAAGCCGGCCATTAAGTTCAGGATTTTCTTGATGGGAACTCTCTTGAAAAGAACGGAAGATCCACGTCCATGTCAGCGCACCAGATGATTCATCATCTACAGAGTAGACTGTAGCAAACATGGAAGTCTTACTATCCAAACAACAGCACATGTGGAGATTTATATTGAAGGACATCATGATTCAAACAGTGAGTATCTGGAAAAGTATCCTGCTGGGACGGGTTCATGGAGGCAGGACAATATAGAGAAATGATCAAAATGCACGTGCCATGTTTCTTGCTTTCAAGGTCTGCAGGATAACCCTTGTGGCTGATTGAACTTCACTTGGATTTGCATCACGCATTGCAACAAAGCTCCGACAACTTCCACTAGGATTTCCGACTCCACCATTCACATTCACCTTGGAGACATCCCAACCCATCTCCTCAGGGCTGTGTTGCAGCTGAGGGGAACTGTGAGCAAAATCAGCGAAGGGTTGAGCTATGTTAAGTTAACATCATTATATAATAACTAACATATATTATATAACATCTTCAATGTTGGTAAGCTTCGCATCATCCACAGTCAAACCGAGGCGTTCAGAATTCACCTGCTCCACTGCCATACTAATTTCTGATGTAATTATCTGAATCCTCCCCGTCCAAACTTCAGTTTCGGAAGTGGACTGGGTGAGCGGAGTCAACCAATTCATGCTAACTCATTTCAATATCTACAGTTTCTTGCCAGTTTCATCATGGCTCACAGATTTCTTGTTGATAGTCCAATGTTACTGCCACGGCTACATTCAGGCATTGAACCCACATTTATTCCTCCCTGTGCAGAACACCAATGCCAAACAAAACACAACAATACTCTCTATTCTTCTCTTTGCTGGAAATCCTACTATCTGATCATCGGGACCGTATTCACGTATGCCAGAACTGCAGATCGGGGATAAGGATGCGCCCGACAATGCCTATAACATATAGATCATATAGAATCATATAGACGGGATGATCCACTCTCTCATTGGGACAATCCGGCCGTTCGCTGTCAGCTCCCAAAGCTCGTTTCTAAAGATGGACTCCTTCGAATCGCCCCTCCCCTGCCAAGCCCACCTTGTTAACGGCTAATGCCTGCGCAGCAAAAGCCTCGTTGGCCTCAATTAGGTCCAGATCGCTCGCCTTCCAACCCACCTGTCGTACCACAACTGAGCAGCTGAGGGAGACTCAGAATCTGGTGCGTGTCCATATGGTTCATCATGTTTCCACTGTACGTGTTCATCGTTTCCAACCAAATACAGAAACCTTGCAGAAGTGTTGTCATTGATATTCTTTGATCAGGGGATCCTGCAAGTATATGATTTTTTTTCATCAACCTGAAGGAGAAGAGGATATATCTTTCCTCAACAACTTTGAAAATTGAAATTGACTGTGACGAATTTCCACAGTTTCACCTTTGCAAAGCAGCAACTTCCATGTCGGGTTGAGCCTTCTGGAGGACTTTCTTGCTGCTGGGAATGGGGCCAGTGCCTCATATTTGCGATGGCCAATACATAATCGTTCAATAGCCCTGAATATCCGAAAACCCCTACCAATCAATGAGTTGTTTACTGCTGGAATAATCCCAGTGACTCAGACAAACAATCAACCTATTGTAAACATCTGACTCCTCCTATCCATTGAATCATGAAGAGTGAGGAAACAAGCAATTCAGCGACAAGTGTACAGTCAAGCAGTCAAGCTTTGACGCTTAACAGTTTTAACAGTGGTCAAGGCCAAGTTCAGCGCTTTAACAACCATACTGCACTGTACCGTACTCACACATTTATGTATTGGATGGGATGGGTCAAAGCGATTTTCGAGGCCTTGGCTACTTTCGACCCAAAACCATTGTCTGTTCATGTGAACAGTCACAACTGGGCAGCAGTGAGACTCAGTGAGACCCAGCAAATGCCGAGCTGCCCATGATCTTGGGATCGACCCCCGCACTGGCAAAGCCGCGAACAAAGACCAAGGGCTGCAAACCCAGCTGTTGAGCCTACCAGCCATAGAAACCGTGCACCATGGAGGTGTCGCTTCTTGTGATCAGTGGATGTTGTGTACAGTGTAGAGTTAAAGCAGTTCCAAAAACGCATCCTGTTTATGCTCCCATGTTGGGCGGAGCAGGAGTCTGAAACATCTTGATGGCAGCACCACTTTATCAACCTTGCTGAGCATTGCCCCAGTCCTGAATTGCTGGGAGGATCTTGCAACCTCTTGCAATCTCACTACCAGTAGCTACCCTGATAATCCATGATCGTTGTAACTTATAACGGTGGGATCTGTTGTCCCACAATTTGGTTTACTACAACTGATACTAAATGATACTAATATTTACCAATGCTTTTACCCAATACATACCAACACTCACAATCATTGGAGTCTCACACACGTTGGTATGTTCTGGACACTTCTGGACCATTGCGGTGCGAATACCATGGAATACCCTTGGATTTGGGATGAGTTGAGACACTTTGAGACATTCCCATCTCGTTAATTTCACCCCTAGCTTCGCCCTCCGGACACCTTGGCAGCAGACATCAACAAGCACAGCGCCGCACCGTCGTTGATGCCAGAGGCATTGCCTCAAGGTGGAAACCAACCAGCCACAAAAAAGAACCATCCTATGCAGGCTGTTAAGTAGGCAATACATGAATCGACTGTTGTCCCAAGCATTGATGATCTGCTGAAATTAAGGAATGGGGCACCGCTGTAGCTTGTGAAGGGCTTATGGCTTATGAGGTGATTCGAAGCTTGGGAAGAGGTCCGATTTCCGTACGAGAGCTTGGTAGAGAGCATGAGACTTCAATATCTTCAATATAATCCTGCGGTCCCAAACTCTGATTGCCCATGTTGTTCAACTCATTCGTTGCATTTCGTTGCATTCCCTACAGTACGGGAAAGTACCGAGACATATTTTGCCTTGAAGGTCTTCTCCTGGCCCACGATCTTCCCACTGCCCCTACTGCCCATGCCCCTGTGTTGCACACCTGCTGTGACTGATCCGTCCTGGCTGGGACAGCTGGGACGGCTGGGATGACTTGGTCCAAGTGCTGCAAGTGCGGCAAGTGATTCCGGACTGTTCCAACACTGTCACTGGATGTCACCAGTCAGACGCTCTTGCAAAGAGTGGCAACAAAGATCGCCAATCATCTCCGGGCATGCCTTCTTAAAGGCAGGTTTCAGCTTTTGCAGCTGCTCAAGGGATGTGTCTCCCTTGATGTACTCGTCTTTGTCAAGCACCTGTCCTGGTAGTAATCTCCCAATGGGAGCCAAAACGTCGGATACAAAAATGTAGCGGTACATCTCAAATGTGATGGTGCTACGGGCGACGTGTGATGTCTTTATGATTTCATGATATGCGCTTGAAAACAGGACAATCCCAGCGGAAAAAAAACAACAAAATTCCCATCAAACCCACTGGCACCTTTCTTGGTTGTTGGCACTGGCACAATCTGGTCCTTGAACTTGCCAGCCTTCAGTTCAGCTCTTCAGGGTAGAATTGGCACTATCCTAGCAGGTTTGTGTATCCCATGTATGTGATTGATTTATTCTGCTGTATCTTGTTGTCCTGTGTTCTGCTATCCTGGAAACATCTTTAAACAGGGGTTCTGGTTCACCTGCTGCCCTCGAGAGCCACTTTGATCATTGATCAAGCACGATCAAACACCAACATCTTAATAAGGATCTAATGTCAAGTGAAGTTTCATTTGCTACACCATGTTACACTTTAAAACTTTGAGCCTTTGAGCCTCCAAAAATCAACGACCGAAGTTGGATCTCGGTTGCCCCATTTGCCATGAGGTCCCCAGTGCCTGTTGCGCTTCGCCGGCCTTTCGCTGCGAGGCGGCGGCGAAGTCATCCTGGGAAGCACCTCAAGGTGGGAACATCGTTGTACTGCACTACATAGGGCCATACGAGGCCATACAGTCAAACTATCAAAACATTTACTTGTTACGTGATAATCCATGATTTGAATTGATTTGATTCGATATGATGATGATGATGATGATGATGGATGATGGATGATGCATGATGGATGATGGATGATGGATGACGATGATGATGATGATGATGATGGTGGTGGTGGTGATGATGATGATGATGGATGGTGGATGACGATGATGATGATGATGATGATGATGATGATGATGATGATGATGTATGATGATGATGATGATGATGATGGATGATGGATGATGCATGATGGATGATGGATGATGGATGATGGATGACGATGATGATGATGATGATGATGGATGGTGGATGGTGGATGGTGGATGATGATGATGATGATTATGATGATGATGATGATGATGGATGATGATGATGGTGATGGTGATGATGATGATGATGATGATGATGATGATGATGATGATGATGATGATGATGATGATGATGATGCTAACGATGGATGACGATGGATGACGCTGACAATGACGATGGCGATGATGATGACGCTGATGGTGTGTTGATTTTGATGATCTTGCTGATGGTGATGATGATGATGATGATGATGATGATGATGATGATAATGATAATGGTATATGATGATGATGCTGATGATGATGATGGTGATGATGATCAATGATGATGATGATGATGATGATGATGATGGTGATGGTGATGGTGATGATGAGGATGATGGATGATGGAT